TTCTCTTCGTGTCCTACACACGGCAGACAGATAATAAAATGTCAAGAAAATTATTCAGCAACAACATTTCCAACTTATACACACTGACATATTTACGGATTGCATTATTTAGCTCTGAATGAAACTGTATATCATTAGAACTACATGTATACAAATAAATTGCTATTGTAAGCACGCGTGACTTTTTGATCGTTTTGGCAGATCAAGAAAATTTCAAAACCGTATTATATGGATGACGGAAAATGACACTTTTGCAGGAGAAAGTGAACAAATTTCATATGTAAGTTCATCAATTATTCAATTGCTCCATGAGTTCACAATTCCTTCAGATACGATAACCATTGGGGAAAAACAAATTTGTAATTTATGCGATTGCAAAGCTATAGATTCTAACCCAAGAACTTCACAGCTAATCGAGCTAATTAAATGAATTAGGGGGTGTTTGTTTATAAATTTATCCAATTCATCCTCAATTCATACTTAAAATCTAACTCAACTTTAACCCCCACTATCTTCAATATCATTAATATAATTAAATAATACCAAACAATCATTCTTATACGTCACATCAATTTTAAATCACTATTCATCCACTCACAAAATTTTAACTAACCATCACCTCACATCATCTCTCTCCTACTTTTACATCAAATCAATTTTAATTATTTTATTTGAAATATTATTTTATTATAACCTCAAAATCTCACTAACTAACAATACCAACGTTTTTGGTTAACAAAAAAAAACTCATTTTGAGCGGATATATTTGTATACAAGCACGCCCTTAGATATATGGATTGAAAAAATACCTGTTGAGTGATCTTTGATGTGATGCTCTTAGCGGATTCTATTACTGAACTGGGCAGCCCAGCTACTTCCGCTAGCATGAGGCCATAATGTGCTACATGCCGTGGCCCATCTTTCAGTTGAAACTGGTCGGCACAATTAACTTAGGAGAATTTAAATAAAAAAACATTTTTTTATTTTTAAACAATTCATTCCTTCAATCATCTTACCTTGAAATCCATGCGCTTGTTCTTAACCTCAACATCAAAATGAACGATTTTCACGTTCGGATAAATGGTGGCCAATTCAGATAGGTTTTCCATGTGAGTAGCAAATATTGTGTACCTGATATCACAAGAAGGATAAGAATTTGTATTCAATGTAGTTGCAAATGCTCTTGTTTCAGTTTCTTGCGGAGGGAATTTTCAAATAATATTATAATTAGGACTAATGGATTCAAGACCACGAAGGTAGGTGTATCATCAGCCTGATCTGGATGAGTGGTTATCCTCAATTGGAAGTTCTCAGAAAAAAATAAAAAAAATAAAAACAATGAAGTGTATTCTGATGCATGTAGTTCTATTCAGTTTCATTAAGTTTAAGAGCATATGTTAATCAATTTAAGAGATATTTTAACTATTCTCAGGTGCTGTTGGGAAACCATAAAGTTCTATTGAACCCCATACACACAGAGAGAGAATATCAGTCACAATATATGAGTGGCAGAATAGAACATTCATCAATTATGCGAATCAAGTCAAAACTTCAATTTTATATTAATAATAGATATCATGAGCAAAATAGTCACGAAAACAAGTGTTTGAGTTGCTCACCATACATGAAGGTTTTGTCAACTAATATAACGGAGATCCTTGTCACTGTTAAGCTTTTGAAACTCATCTCAAAGAAAAAATCACTTAATTAACACGATGTTTTTGCCATTAGTTATGCAGTATCTGAAGTCAAGACACTTCCTTTGCATGAAAATTAGAGGAATTATAATCGATTTTCTTAATAGTAATACAATTTTTTATTTTATTTTTTTTTGGCGGACGAACAACAACTGCAAACTCAGCCAGCAATCCTTCAATCGAAAGTAAGACTACTTCCCTTAGCAATTGGATAGAAACTTGGCATATTCCAGAATTCTATGTGATTTTTCCAGAATATAGTCGCATTTTTTTTTTTTTCATAACACTGTGTGAAACAACTCAAATAGATTCAAGTTTCATTCTTCACCTATAAATGTTGATTCAAGAGATTTAACGGCCAAAGAAGATTAAGGCAAGTAAGGCACTGACTGCACCAAATAATGCCCCAAGGACACTGTACTAGAAATTGGGATTGTCCCTTCTCAGACTAGTTCAATATGATAAAGTGGACAAAACAACTTGTTACAGACGATCAAAATCAAAGTTCAAATTGAGAACCAACCAGCTTTCATGAGGCGAAAAGGAGGAGGTTATCTACGCAATAAAAGTTAATGACTTTGGTATATACATATATTTCATTAGGTAGATGGTTTTAGGATTTCATAAGTAGAATTACTATAAGTTCTTCAGAGAGGAATTAAGAAATAATTCTTGGAGTTTTAGACTTATAGGATTTCAAGAATCAAGTGGGTTTAATTAAGATCGGTTCAGATAAGTGATGATTTAAGGAATATGGACTTGGACAATCAACTTCATCATAAACATTTAGGATATAAATAGCGGAATTTCTTATGTTACCTTAGCCACAACCATTGTTGACTGAAGTATTTCCTAATGCAATTGAGTATAAAAGCATAAAGTGGTGAATATTTAATTTACGCTCTTAAAGCCAGTAGATGCTCGCAGCAGCTCCAGGCAATCGCAAGTCCATCAGAGGAAGATGTTGCTCTTCCCAGTTCATCCACAACAATCAGACTTCTGTGCAAGGAATAGAAAGCTGTGTGATGGACTATTAACTCAATCAATTCACGTACAGGATTAAATTTCATTTTGCCAATGTACCTATGAGAAGCATTTTGCAGGATGAAAGCCGTTTCTTTCATCTCGGTCATAAACTGCATCATAAAGTTCACACAAATAATGGATTCAACTGATGATCTTTGTGCATTGAACTGCTGAAATAGATTATATTGCTTGCACGAGGCAATCACATGATCGGTCTCACTTGACTATAATGAAACCACATTTAACTGCTGATTTTTCTCCGCCGGTTTGTTAAATCTATCTGTTAAGTTTGTATTCTTAGTTCAAGGCCACTATAGTTCCTCTTTACTAATGCTAACAACATCTAAGAGCCAACAACTATACTCTGACTAAGGTTTTAGTAGCATAAAAATGAATGTGGAGAAAGTTTCTACTGATCAAGTAGTTGAGCCTTAAGTTTGCTTTCAAATAAAATCCCTGCTATACCATTTCAAATCCAATACTAATAATTCTGAGCTGGCCAGTCTTATACCTATACATCATTCACAGCGGTATATAGAGTATAGAATTACGTGTCGAGCTATATCACCAAAAAACAAAATTTATAATTGCATGGTACCATCTCTACTCTTCATTCTCCATATTCTCTTGTTTACTTTTTTCTATATGTGAAATGACTTGTCCTGGAATTCGTGTCTAAGGTAGACTTGAAATGAAGAAGCAAAAATAGAAAACAAAAATTAAAGACGTTAATTACAAGATCAAGAGGTCACCGTGCTGGAGTTCGACTCAACGTTGTCCATAGTTCCCATCCTAGTAAATATGCGATCAACTACTCTAGAAGTTGCGAAACGAGCGGGAACATAACAACCAATCTGAGCAAGGATGACAACCAGACAAATTTGCTGAAGGTAAGTGCTCTTTCCACTCCTACAGTAAGCAATGTTGATTATATTATTAGTAACTCGGAGCAATTAAGGATCAATTAGCCTAGTCAAGTGAAAGTGACATATTCTCTGTGTTAGCCACCATGTACGGAAGTCACATGAATTGTGTAGTCGCTTAGCAGGGAGGAATCTCAATAGGAAGTAGAAAAATGTTATTTTCTCAGATCAAGAACCTTTCTAAAAGTGCTGAACTAAAGTATCATAGAACTGAAGAGGAGTTGCCCTATCATAATTAGATAAATTTTAGTATAGTATTTTTTCAAAAATATTGACCTAACATAGAAATATAAATGCATTAGTGACGACAACTCAAAAACACCTGAGAGCACGTCAAATATTTTCTTTCGAAACTTAATTTAGTGGTATGTCTCTTAATTAGACAATTTTTATATAACTAGGAAGATGCACGTGCTACGCACGTGATAAATTAATTTACGTAACACATATATCATAAATTAACGTTTATATTATACATATTATTAGCAGGTAAACTTAAATCGTATTATGCATATTGTTTTAGTGAATAAATTGAACAAAATAATTTTATTAAGATTATATATTTTCACCTAACAAATAATTTTTTCCCACAAAAAACTGACTTTTTGTATATGTTAACGATATTTTTTTTTTCATTCAATCATTCTTAAACATATATCATAAATTAACGTTTATATTATACATATTATTAGCAGGTAAACTTAAATCGCATTATGCATATTGTTTTAGTGAATAATTTGAACAAAATAATTTTATTAAGATTATATAGTTTCACCTAACAAATAAATTTTTTCCACAAAAAACTGACTTTTTGTATATGATGACGATTTTTTTTTTTTTTTCATTCAATCATTCTTAATCATATGCATGTTCATTAAATTATTCATTTTTTTTAATACTATAACCAAAAAAATCTATAGTAAAAAATATGATATTTAGAAATAGATATGATATTTTTATTGGTGCATTATATATTGTACACTTTTGAAATTAAATATAATTATTTAAAAAATATTAAATAATATTTTTTTTACATTTAAAAACTACATTTTCTGTAATTTTTATTCTATTTTTTATTTCTTACTTACATATTTGTTTAGATAATCTTAACATCTTTATATCGACTACAAGAATTAAATTATTGAATACATAAAAAATATAATAAAGATCATAGATAAAAGAATGAAAATAATTGATTGAAAAAGTAATTGCAATTATTAATATTTATAACTCTCTAACAGTTGTGACAAAATTACATTATTTTCCTTCGAATTAATTATAGCGTATGACATTTTTGACAACTCAATTTTTTCAAGAAACAAGTCTCTCTTTTAAGATAGTTATTTGATTGAAATTTAAATTTTAATCCATTTCAATTATTATCGGGATTTAAAACCCCATACTGAAATAATGTGTTAAAAAAAATTATTTGGCTTAATTTCTTTAAACTAAATAATAGGTAGATTGTTTATTACATAAAAGTTGTAATTTTACTTATAAAAAAATTGATTATGAATGTATTAACTTGTTACACATGATATACAATTCAATGGGTTTTTACTAAATTTTGAAGATGACAGTGAACATTCATGACCATTCAGTTGTATTTAATATTAAAAATATATATTATATTGGTGTTGATAATGATGATTTGTAACTCATCTGCCTTCATTTAATTAAAAGATTAATACATTTTTAATACACTACAACTACAATTATTTATCACATATCAAATAATCATATGTATGACATTAAGTTGGAATTGCTAATTTGTACTTGAATGATAGAAGGTCTAAATTATAGTTCCATTTTTAGAATTTCAAAATTATAAACTCATCATTACAGGTAATTTATTCTATAACTATAAAGATAGATAGGAGTAAATATTTTAAGGCACAGTGATAAAAATAAACCACGATGAAGATAATTTTAAATAACATGTATTCCAAATTAAAAATAATATTTATTATTTGGCTTGATACTTATTATATATATATATATATATATA